CCTTGTGATCCACCCACCTCGGCCTCCCAAAATGCTGGGATTATAGGCGTGAGCCACCACGCCTCGCCCCGGAAAATATTATACTTAACAGAGAATGAGATTTTCATAGTACTAACATTTGTGCTTTTTAGTCAGAAGTGGGAAGATGACTAAATCAGGAATTGGGACTCCGAGATTCTGGTTCCAGCAGCTTTTCCAATGGGCAGCTATATGACTTTGGACAAATCATTTAACCTCTTTGAGACTGTTTCATCATCTGTAAATTAAAGTGGTTAGATCAAGTAACTTTTAAAGTGATTTTCTGGCTCTAAAAAAGATCAAGAGTCCTTTTTACCAAATGGCAGTACTTATTCCTTTCTAACACAGTTTTGAACACTGATTTAACGTTTTTCTTGTAGACTTAGGGTTTAATCACAGACCACCTTTACTGTATTGTCTTTGCTGCCTAGCAGTTGGCTGTAACCACATTTTATACTTATCCTAAGAGCTGTACCTTGAAACTATAAAGTGGATCTCCTTGCTATGGACCAGGAACCCAGGTATCCAAGCTCATCAGGAATCAGAAATGAAATGCCAAATAAGTTCTAGTAAGAATCTTAAGTATGTTGCTCTTACCAACAATATGAAGGTAAAACTGGACTTCTTTTATGCAATTCCAGGTTACAATAAATATTCCGGAGGCCTAAGGTTGTTGGCAATCTGGCCAAATAAAAGGGACACTATTTTACAGCTATACAGAATCAAATCTTTGTATTTATTTATTAATAACCAAGATATATATGATACTCAGTTATCAAACGAGGGAAAAGAATTAACACCAAAATCAAATTTTAAAACTCCTGTGTGTAGACATCTACTCTGCAACTAGTGATGAAGCAAATTAATAAATTTAGAATATATTCAAGTACACATTGTATTAAAAAGCTATGCATGTGGCAATGAGTCAATAACCAAGATGACTTCTGTTGTCACACAGGCATTATGTATAGCCTCTCTCATGTCACGAATACTCTTGCAAATATAATACAATCCTCTCTGTGATATATAGTAGGCCACGTTGTGGTCAACTGAAAACAATAAAAAAGAAAGGCTACTCTACTGTCCAGTTCCACTAGTGTTAAACAGTCAAATGTCAGGGTGTTTTAACTTCCAGAAGGAGTTAAGCTAAATCATAGAATGCGTATATGATGGCAACAGTTTACCTTAGCTTTGACTTCAGATCTATATAGTTAAGTCGGTAGAAAGAAGCACTAGGTTGTTGAAAATGTGAAATGTAATTGGCCAGCTATTTACTAGAAACTTTTTTTCCTGTGATTAAAAACCATGAGAAGCCCTAGAGAACTAGAATCCACATGAAGAACATTGAAATGAAATGTGGCTTACATTTATCTAACTGGAGAAAATCTATTTTGAAATGACATGTAAATTGACGTCAGAGATTTCAAGTCACCTAACGGGTTCTTACAGTTAAAATCTTAAATACCGATGCTTCCTTAAATATCTTTTGAATCAACTCACTTCTTTCTCTCTTCTAACGTGGATTTTTGCTGCAGCTGCCTTTGGTCTCGCTTGTCCCTTTTCTGTTTCATTCTCACGGCAGCCTGCATGAACTTGCTAAAATAGACATCTGCTCCGCTTAAAGTCCTTCAACTGTTTCTCCCAAGATCTTCAGAGATTAGGATCTCGGAAGACAAGATCTCCCAAGATCTTCAGAGATTAGGATCTCTGAAGACAAGGACTGTGTCCTCAGAACCTCATTGGCTGTCTGGTGTCTCTGGATCTACACACATGATGTCTCTAAGGCCAGGTCAGGGTTTCATTTACTTTTGGAGAGCCACCTGCACACTGAACAAAACTGGATTCGCCACTTGTGATGAAGTCTGGATACAAGATGCCTTTTGTCATTTGTTCATATTCATAGTAGCTCAGGGACATCTTTCTACAATGCCTGACAGCACTGAGCCAGCATTTTGAGTCTTAATGTTCTGCTTCAGGATACATATTCATTGGTTTGGTGTTTTAAGTATGCTTTAGGAAAAGATTATTTGATAATCTATAGTCCTGAAGATTTTAACTAGCCTCTGCGGGACTATGATATTCTCAGGCAAAAACAGCGCAAGTAGATGAACGATTTCATTTTCAGTTTATTCTCTCTCTCTCTCTCTTTTTTGAGATGGAGTCTTGCTCCATCACCAGGTGGGAATGTGGTGGTGGAAGCTCGGCTCACTGCAACCATCGCTTCTCAGGTTCAAGCCATTCTCCTGCCTCAGCCTCCCAAGTACAGTAGCTGGGACTACAGGCGCATGCCACCACGCCCAGCTAATTTTTGTATTTTTAGTAGAAATGGGGTTTCACCATGTTGGCCAGGATGGTCTCGATCTCCTTGATCCTGGGATCTGCCCACCTAGGCCTACCAAAGTGCTGGGATTACAGACATTCACCACTGCACCTGGCCTACAGTTTATTCTCTTAAACAGCAGAGTAAGGAATGAGCCATCCTGTGTCTCTACAACTAGAGACACAGGATGGCTCATTGGTTCAGAGCAGGCACTCTAGAAAGGCCACAAAAGACTTACATATCTGACCTGCACATAGGTGAAGACTCCGTCTGCTTCTCCTAGGATGACCCCTTTGACTTTTCCCAACTCTTCTTTTCTACACACCTAGAAAGTCTCTCTGTAAGCATGTAATCTGTCTAATGACCAAAAAGAACAACCAGAAAGAAAATCTGTCTAATGACCAAGAAAAAAAAGCAGGACATAGGTAATTAGTTACTATTTAACCAAGACTCTAAAAGATCCCAAGATTCAGGGTTATCAGAAAAATTGTGTAACTAGAGGAATGTGAAACACAGTCTAGGGAGAGGAAACCCAGCTACCTGGAGGCAGCTATTCAATTATTTGGAAACTGAAGTGTATTCCAAGAAACACAGTGAATGGGCTTCCGGGCACCAAGAGCAGGCTGTTCTAGGAGGAGAGGGGCCAGTCCTACCTTTGCCCTGCCCTATCTGTGCCCTGCCCATAGGCTGCAACTGGATTCTGGCTGGAGCTTAACCAGGTTGTGTGTCCAGGCTCAGAGAGGGTCTGGGTGGGAAGTCAAGGGAGTCATTCCACGTTTAGGATAATAGAACATGTTGCTTTGCAAGTTTTTGTCTTCAATCACAGATATGCAAAAAGCTCTTTGAAGCACAGCAAAGATTTCTACCCTCTTTAGAGAATTGGCCCTATTTCTCTTTAGGTATCATTATATATCTAAATCCCTGGAGCCATTGAGGACCAGGATCACAGGTGCTGAATAAATGATGGAGCAGGATCAGAGGATGGACACAGAGTGGGCTGAGAAGAGAAGTAAGCACACTTTCTCTTGCTGTCTCAGCATCTGTTCCTCAGTGACTGAGGCACTCTTCACACTTTAAGGAAATACAAATAATTCTGGAACTTAACTTTACCTTTAAGCTTCAAATTGTTTCAGTTATGTATCTTGTTTCAATTATCTGCCTCCTGACAGTGTTTCCCAGCTGCGACCAGTAAGGTGGTCTCTGGCCTTTAACATATGTCTTATCCTTCTTCAAATAGTATTAACTGAAGGATTAAATGGGGTGGGGAGGGGTAGGCAACAAATACAGACTCTATTAATGTTTAAAAGCAGTAACCCTTTTCCATTTCTTTCTCATTCAACTCTCAAAGGCTTCTTATCTTTTCTCCAGGTATTAGTCCTCACAAGAGATTGCTTGATTGCAACCACCAAGGACACCCACAAACCTGGGCTAGATGGATCATCAGTAATATTTCCCATGAATAGTGACAGTAAGAAAATAAACCTCTATTCTTCAATGATTTGAACCACCTCTGGCACACAGAATTCCTCTAAATTCACAGGGCAAATATCTATCATGGGGCAGATATCTCTGCCACCATGGGAAAGTAACATAAAATGTACTAAGTCATCAGAGGGAGGTTTTTTTTTTTTTTTTTTTTTTTTTTTTTTTAAGGTCAATTGCCGTGCTGGGGTAAAAAGCATTGATTTTTGCCTTTTATCACTGGAAAATTATTCAGCGGTGCTTTGTGAAAATCTCGCCTCATCAGGCTGCCAACGTCAATGCAACCCAAGTAATCAACCTGGGAGATGCTTGCCTAATTATTAAATATTTAGCAAACAGTTTGTGACTATTTAACTGTTTGCACCTGGCACCCTCTTTTTCACTACGTGCGGCCTCCTGGCACCATGACCTCTTCCCCCACCCCCACCCACTGCCCAGGCCGCCAGCACCCCTGGGGGGGCAAATCCTGAGATCCAAGGACATTGCAAAGAAACAGCAGAGGTCACATTCCATTTCCTTTTTATTTAAAAAAAAAAAAAAGCTTAAATATGGGGGAGGGAGAGCTAAGGGAAAATCTCTTGCAGTTTTTCAAGTTCGCATGCACTGTTGAAAGTTCATTAATTAGGGATTTAAAAGCAAAAATGTTTCACACAACCAATTAGACGCCAAGCTTTGCAAACGCCTTGGTGTTTAGTTTTGGGAATCTGTAAAAGTCCGCCTCCTCCTACCCCAGTTTTGCCCCTTTTACAGCCCCTTTGTTGAGTTACGAGACTCTTCCCGAAGTCATCAAACTCCGAACTGCGTCTCTCTGTTCTCTAATTTTTTTTTTTTTTTTTTCAGGGCAAAAGCAAATCAAGAAATTAAAATTAAAAGTAGGCACCACGGAGAGAAGCGGGGGAAAGCGCGCCCTAAAGCCAAGTTCCTCAGGACTCGAACCCTCCTCGCGCGCGCGGGACGGGGGACGGTCCCTACCTGGGGCCAGGACGGCTGCGGCGGCGGCGGCGGGGTCGCGGCACCCATGGCTTCGCCGGCCTCAGGCGGCCGCGCCGGGAAACGCAAGCAGCTCCGCGCTGCCCGGAGCCCGCCGAGCTCGCAGCGGCCGCCCCGGCGCGGCCATTGGGCCCGCGTGTCACGTGGCCCGGGCCGCGGGCGAGCCTCCCCGACACGCGTAACCCTTTACCTGCGCGCCTGGAGGACGCGGCGGGGTCAGGGCTCGAACCCCTGGAGTCCGACGTTCGACGTCTCCGGGGCCGGGGCTGTCCCGGGCGCGCGGAAGCAGAAAAATCCAAGCGCTTGTTGACCTCGGAGCGCGAACGACCGTGCCAGCCCACCGCCATCCCGGGACACTCCGCGGTGCCTGCTTCAGTGCTGAGCTGGAGAGAAGGGAGCGTCCTCGGATCCGGGACTGGCCGAGGGGATAGACAAATGCACCCTCTGGCAAATAGATGTGTACTCCCCAACCCTGCGAACACGCGTTTTTCGGTTCCCTCCTCATTTCTGGCGCTCGCCGCCTAGAGCAGCTGTGAGCCTCCTCGCCAGCCCTGCCGGAGGTCCATGGACCAAGAAACAGCCGGGGCGCCACCACCACGATAGCAGCCAGGGGAGTGGTACACGCTCGCCTGCACCCTAAGGGCCGCAGTGGGAGTTCAGTGAACTCATGGTTCCCGGTCCCCTCCTCACCCACTCCCCCACCCTCCCTTTCTTTTCCTGAGGTCTTAGGACCTTGATCACAACACCGCATCCAATCTCCTGAGCTCCACATTCGTAGCTGTTACAATCCATATTCCTAAGAGGATGGAGCACGGGTTGCTTTACCCTAGAACTCTGCTTAAGGACTGGACATTGTTTTCACCTGTGCTCCAAAGCAAAGGCTGGGCTTGCCAAAACACAAAAAAATAAATAAAAAATGTGTTAAGCAACTGCGCCACCTAGCTTACCCTCTTCTCTCATCCAGCGAGAGAATAAAACAGGATACTGGAGAGACAGCTGGACAGAGTATTTATTATCTAAGGATGAACATTGTGTCCTTGGGTTTTCAGTGTATCTACTTTAACGATTCCAGCCGCATTCACGTGACATTTGCCAGGCTTTTGAAAATTTGAAGACTCCATTTTTTGAATCCTTCTAATTTTGCAGCGCTGGGATCGCACGCTGTAAAGTGGTAGATTGCTGCCGGAAGTTGTATGTGGTTTTACATCCTTTGTCCCAATGAACGGCATTCATGTCCAATAAAGCCGACACTTAATTGGTGTCTACAGGATATTGAAACATTTATCAGGTTGGTTATCTGTCCAAAAAGGCGTTGGTATTTGTCTTGGGTATTTATTTATTATTTGAGACAGGGTCTGACTATTGCGCAGGCTGGAGGGCAGCGGTGCCATCTCGGCTTACTGCAACCTCCTCCCCTGGAGATCAAGGGGTCCTTCCACCTCAGCCTCTGGAATGCCTGGGACTACAGGCACATACCCACCAGCCCATCATGCTCAGTTAATTTTTTTTTTTTTTTTTTTTTTTTTTTTTTTTGTGGAGACTAGGATGGGAGTGGGATCTCCCTAATTTGCCCAGGCTGGTCTTAAACTCCTGAGCTCAAGCGATCCGCCCTCCTCAGCCTCCCAAAATGTGACTGCAAGCTGAACCACCGTGCCCAGCCTGTCTTGGGTTTTAAAGTTTACCGTTCCTAGACTAATAGCATTGGCATAATCTGAGAGAATGTAGTAAAAATTCAAATTCTTAGGCCCCACCCCAGACGTATTGATTCAGAAATAGTTGGGGAGAGAGGGTGAAGAAATCTGTTTTAGCAAGTGGTACCCGCTCCAGTGTGAGAACCACTGCTCTGAATATACACAAGTAGCTGGAGAAGTTCCCCTCCTTTATTAAATAGTGAGGGTTGGCATTCTATAAAATCAGAGGTGCTGCTTTTATTTGTATCCCTAAATTACCAGTATTATGTAATTTGTCATGTCGATACCCTGAAACTGACCCCTCCGTGTGTCCATACAAAGTGTAATCTGTACTTCCCGCAGCTCCCTTGGAATGCCAAATTGAGATCTGAGGGGGCTCTTGCAAAGCATATGGAAACAAAACCTATGGTTTCTTGATGCATGGCAGGATGAAAACACCATGATTAATTTCATTTTTTTTAGGTGTGCTCATGTTTTTATTGGTACGTAGATTGTTCCCGGCCAATGAGTTATGAAAGATAGAAAAGCTAATTTATTTGAGTGGATTTATCAACATGGTTCCAAATTTGTCAAATAGTTGTAAAAAAGAAACAACATTAAAAAAATTATGGTATCAGTTTATGTTATAACCAAAAACCTCCCCACACCATATTAGGCATTGTAGTAAGGGCACCTGAGAAAGAAATAACTGAGTGGGTTCTTTTTATCTCAGATTTCTCCATGCGAAAGGCTGCATATTTCTAATGGGCTAGATAGATATCTTACCTGTAAACTCTCTAGGTGCAAGTTTGTTTTATGATTTTCCTCATTTTCATCCCTGTTTGCTTTACATTTGTAATTCTATCTACTCAATTTCAATTGGAACTGGAATTATTTGAGTTTTCTCTCCCCTTCATCAACTACCTCTATCCATTAAGCCCTGCAATTAATCTTGAGTTGCCCCTACTCTAAGGAGTCTCACTGTCCCTCTTCTAAGATCAGGTTCTAACAGTTTCTTAGATCGTTGACATGTCTTTACCGGTCTCCCAGCTTCTGGTCTCTTCCATCTGAAAACTATCTGACAAAGAAACTGCCCTTCCTCCACACTTTTTTCCCAGCTTCCTGTTGAGACCAGCCCAATTTTCCAACAAGCCAAATGCCAATAGCGCTGAAGCTTGGGAAGCTTACACCTGCTGCCTGTTGACCAATTCCTCTTCCTCAACCCTCCCTAATTTCTGTTTTCCTGTAGGAGCTTACAGTGAGATGCTAGACACCTGCTGCCCATTAATCAGCTCCTCTTCCTTGCTCCACCTGTTTTCTTCCCCCACATAAACCCTAACTTTAGCCAGGGGAGATTCAGATTTGAGTCTTGTCTCCTGTCCCTCTGGCTAATATAATCCATAATAAAGCCTTCTTCCTTGACAATACTCATTGCCTTAGTGATTGGCTTTCTGTGTAGCAAGCAACAGGACCTACCTAGCCTGAGCCCTTGGCTTTGGTAGCACTACTGACTACTGAATAAAGTCTAAAATCCCATCAGCATTTGAAGTCGGCTGAAATATGCTTCAACTCCTCGTATTTGCTCATGCAGCTTCCTTTACCTGAAATGTTTTCTGATACTGACAGCTATATCCTAATTATTCTTCTAGCTTCAGCTATACGTCCTCTGGGCCAACCTTTTTGATACTCAGGTTGAATTAATTGCTCCTCTGTAGTGTATCCTCAGCACCTAGCTTTTACTCTTAACGAAATTTGAAATCAGTCTCATCTGGTTTAGCTGTGTCTGTTTTAGACTGTAGGGCAGGCATCCCCAAATTACGGCCCGCGGGCTGCATGCGGCCCCCTGAGACCATTTATCCGGCCCCCCACCGCACTTCAGGAAGGGGCACCTCTTTCATTGGTGGTCAGTGAGAGGAGCACAGTATGTGGCGGCCCTCCAACGGTCTGAGGGACAGTGAACTGGCCCCCTGTGTAAAAAGTTTGGGGACGCCTGCTGTAGGGTTTTGTGTGGCAGGAGTCATGCATGACTTTTGAAATCATTCCAGGGAATAATGCCTCGGGCATAGCAAACACACAGTATTTGTTGTGTTCTTGACTCTAGGAAAGATATTTAAACAAACTCTATTTATTTGAAATGCTTTTTTGCAAATATTTATTACTTTTTCCACATTTTATTTGAGAACTGAAAGGAGAAGGGTTTAACCGTTTCAACCTAAAGGATATTACCCTTTGTGAGTAATGGAATCATGTTCAGTGGTGGTAAATTGCACGTTAGTCTCAGCCACATGATGCAGGCGATAAACCAGAATAATTTCTTATTTTCTTAAAACCTTAAGGTTTTTCTGAGACCAATTATTTCATGACAACCAGACACAAGATTTCCTCTAATTATTTCCTATGCATTATCACCAAAGCTCACCAATACTGCTCTGTTTCTGTTTTCTAAAAATATTTTTTGGTACATGTGTGGAGTCGCAGATTCAAGAGACAAGAGATGGAAGACAGGGCATGTGGGAAGGCTCGCCTTGGTCCTGTTCTTTCACCAAAGGGAATTTATGAGCGAGACGACTCCTCAGTCATCATCCTTCTCCTCCTTCCTACACGTTGCCCCTGCACTTACACTCAGATTTGTTCCTACCTGTTTTCCTGTTAAAACCTAAATCCTAGAAGGCATGAGCTATTTTATTTACCTTTGTGATTCCGGCAAAATGTGTGACCAAATAAATATTTGATGAATGAATGCATCAACTCTTTCTGGATACTTGAAAAACCTGAGCGACCTCCAGTGATCTTCAGAGCCTAGCCCGTCTCCCACCTGCAAGTTGGAAAGTATCTTATAGGTCATTATCGATCACTACGTGCCTACTGGATACTAAATGCTCTATTTTGATGGACTTTGAGTTAAGGAAAAAGACATTGAGAGTGCACTGAAGTGTGGTTCGGCTATTTTCCCTGGACCCCTGTTTCTAGGTTTTCTTACCTATAAATTTAGAATACTAACAGGACCTACTTCACAGGGCTGTTGTGAAGACTAAATGACTAAGTACATACGAAGCTCCAGGTACAGTGCGTGGTTTAACATAAACAGTAAACATGAACAATTATTAGTATTACTGAAGGCCTCTAATCACATCTGCCAAAAATGGGGGAGAAAAACAAACAGCATGCCAATCTAAGTAGTTTATCTTTTATTCATACAAATAATACATACACAAGACTGTATATTGTTTGAAGACTGAAATAATTTTCTAGTGTAACAACTCTGTAACAAAATTTAACTAAATGTAACATTTATGAAAATATAAATCTCTGATTGGGTAATTCTTCCCAACAATACAAAGTTTACATAAAAACATTCAATATGAGCTATCAGTTGCAAACAAGTTAGGAAAAATCATTCAAGTCACTTGTATACTCTATTGGCTTTTACGAGGAACGTTCACATACTACATTTAATCCATCTGGGCATTTAATTCTTAGAAATGTGTGGCATGAAGGTTCAACTGATAATGACAGGAATGGGAATGTGTTGCCTAAAGAGCTCAAAAGCACAGACTCATATAATCAATTCCAGGTGCTCTGTATATGTGAGTAGCCTTCTCTGGGCTACCACCTCCCTGGCTAGTAGCTAAACCAGAAGTAACATACTAAAAAAAGTCTTTCACTATGGAGCTGGGTATTTTTATCTGAATCACATCTT